ATGATGTATTCTTACTTTGGCAAGGTTCTCCTGTGGATGATGTATTCTTACTTTGGCAAGGTTCTCCTGAGGAACTAGAAGATCAGATTATTTAGATCAACTCATTATCACTTCCAATCAAGTTGATACTTACATTCAGTAGTACAGAGATAAAAATTTTGGATATCACTATCTTTAAGGATTTATAAAGGTTAGAATACACACTAAACTGCAAAAAAAATGGACACTATTAACAACTTCCAGCTATCACTCTCAAAAACTTAAGGTTTCTATACCCATATCACAATATATACATGTACTTCGATACAACAGTGACCCAAGAAACCAAGAGAAAAAATGCAGGAGATGACATAGATTCCTAGAAAGAGATAATTGTCCTCAGATACTTGAAACAGCCCAAGCCAAAGTCACAGAAAAGGGGACTCAAGAGAAACAAGGCACAGTATGCACTTCATTAAGTGATACAGCCCAGATGCATCTACCTCTGACGTTCCATACGGGATCTATCGATAAATATTGGGGTATACTATACCCTGTTCCAAATTATTATGTACATTCTATTTAAGTGTCACAAAGATTCAATATTTTGTTTTTCAGTTTAACTCATGGATGGCATTGTGTCTCAGAGACTAACTTTTGATCACTGAAAACAACCTCGGACGCATGTGATAATTAGATTACCAGGTGAGCCCAATTTAAGGAAAAACTACTAAAGGAGGGTGTTCCACGTTATTAAGCAGAGCACTATTTTCATGCAATATGGGGAAGAAAAAGGATCTCTCTGCTGCCGAAAAGAGTGAAATAGTTCAATGCCTTGGATGAGGTATGAAAACATTAGATATTTCACGAAAACTTAAGCGTGATCATCGCACTATTAAGAGATTTGTGGCTGATTCAGAGCACAGGCGGGTTTGTGCAGATAAAGGCACATTGAGGAAGATTTCTGCCAGATCCATGCATCAGATCAAGAGAGCAGCTGCTAAAATACCATTACATAGCAGCAAACAGATATTTGAAGCTGCTGGTGTCTCTGGAGTCCCACGGACATCAAGGTGTAGAGTCCTCCAGAGTCTTGCAACTGTGCATAAACCTTCTATTCGGCCACCACTAACCAGTGCTCACAAGCAGAAATGGCTGCATTGGGCAGAAAAATACATGAAGACTAATTTTCAAACAGTCCTGTTAACTGATAAGTGCCGTGCAACCCTGAATGGTCTAGATGGATGGAGTAGTGGATGGTTGGTGGTCATGTTTTGGGCTGGAATCATGGGAGGAGAGCTCGTCAGCCCCTTTAGGGTCCCCAAAAGTGTAAAGATGACCTCTGCAAAGAATGTGGAGTTTCTGACTGACCACTTTCTACCCTGGTACAGAAGGAAGAACTATGCTTTCCGTAATAAAATCATCTTCATGCATGACAGTGCACCATCTCATACTGCAAAGAATACTTTTGCATCAATGGCTGCTATGGGGATAAAAGGAGAGAAAGTCATGGATGGAGATCCTCCCCTGACTTCAATCCTATTGAGAACCTTTGGAGCATCCTCAAGCATGAGGGTGGGAGGCAGTTTACATCCAAACAGCAGCTCTGGGAGGCTATTCTGACATCTTGCAAACAAATTCAAGCAGAAAATGTCCAAAAACTCACAAGTTGCAAGACTTGCGAAGCTGCTATCAAATAAGGGGTCCTATGTTAAAATGTAACGAGACCTGTTAAAATGTTTAAAAAGTTAAAATGTTGTTATAAGTTTGATTGATATAGCTTTTGATTTCAGTAAATATGCTGCAAACACAACAAATGACATATTTTCAGTTCTTTACAACCTATAAAGTGTTGTGAAACTTACTGTGCATAATAATTTGGAACAGTGCATTGTAAGTTTTTTATGTTTAAAAAAAATATACTGTTATCATTAGGAGGTTTGTTCAATAAAATTTGAATTGTACGTTTAATAGTTGATAACATGAGAATTATGTTGACTGTTATTTACATCAATTATTTAGGTAAATGAGAAAAAATTCATTTGCATAATAATTTGGAACAGGCTGTACACAAAAATCTACCATTCATATCCCAAAAGCATCTTGTCATCAGTTACAAGAGTTGAAATTTGAGACATATGCTTATCTGCAGTGATCCTACACAATGCTATAAAAAAACCTACAACACATAAGAAAACAGGATGTTATAAATGCAGTGGTTGTGTTACATGTAGTCAAATGAATTCTGGCATCTTCTTTGCCCATCCCCACAGGGGAAAGAGAATCCCCATCACTCAATATATGACCTGCATGGCTGACCATGTAATATACTTATTAACGTGACCTTGTGCACTATCATATGTGGGAAAAACCGACTGTAATGCACCGTGCACCTTCCATTGATGGACGCTTCCTAGCTTGCGTTGAGGACCACAAGCACAACAGCGGTCACCACAACCACCGCAGACTCCACAACTGCCGTAGCTTAACTGGAGTCTCACCGTTTTCCTTCCACCCTGGATCAGCCTCTGTCCTCCAGGACCGTATGGGGAAGATCTCTCCTCCAGAAGAGCGTCACAGGAACAGCTCTTAAAAGAGCTAAGTGATTAAAGCTCAGGGGAATATATAAGGTATAGCAATCCCCAGTGTAAATATAGCAGTTCCCTACGATAACGAGACGAGTAGAGTTGAGCAGACAACTGTTTCGGCCGAACTTTGAAAAAAAAAAGTCCGGGTTCGGGATCGAACTTGCCCCGGAATTTGACTCTGAAACCCATTGAAATCAATGGGGACTCGAGCTTTTGGGCACAAAAATGCCTCTAAAAAAGTGGAAAGGGCTAGAGGGCTGCGAAAGAAAGTTAAATGGTGGTAAGAGTAGGACAAGTGCCCTGCAAATAAATGTGGTTAGGGAAATCACTTAAAATAACATAAAAATTAAAAATACAGCTGAGCCATAAAATAGCACTATATGGAATCTTTGATTTTAGCTTTGGAAGAACATAAATCAAAATCTAATGCATGGCTGTCAGGAGGATCACCAGAATTATCCATTTTAAAGAGGGTTGGAGTGCAGTGTATTCTCTTTCATTGTTCAAACTGAGCTCAACTCCTGATGCATGGAGAAAAGGCCTTCACAAGCCTCTGCTATTGTGTACATAGTTTATACTAAGTGACCCATAGGTTGAGGAGCCGGTGATGGTGGAAGCGGCGGTGGAGGAGGAGGTAGCCAACACTGTTTTTTATATATATATTTTTATTTTTATTGGGATAGCCCCCAAAACATTGGGACATATAAAAAAAGAAAGCTCTGTTCCGCAGAGTGACTGACCCATGCGTGCTGCAACTGAAGCTCCACTGTCGCCTGCTGCTGCTCGAATAGTCTCTTGAGGTGGTGAGCGGGAAGGCCAAAGTTAATCTGCAGCGCAGACAGGCGAGCAGCAGCAGGGTGAGAACGCCAAAAGCGCACCCATATGGCCCGCACTTTCTGCAGCAGCTTGGATATATCTGGGTAGTTTTTCAGGAATTTCTGCACCACCAAATTCAGCACATGCACCAGGCATGCACCAGAGCTGCTACGAGATTTTGCAGGCCAGGCTTGAGGCTCAGTGGCAACAACCACTCATCGGTCTGTTGTTCCATGCCCGTCCACAGCTCCTGCATGGTGTGGGGTTTTTCCCCCAAACATATCTATTGTAAAACAGCCTGCTGTCGTTTCCCCATGGCTGTGCTGAAGTTAGTGGTGAAGGTGTTACGCTGACCGGATGAGGAGGTGGTAGAGGAGGAGGAGGAGAAGGCAACAGGAGGCAAAGCTGTGTACCCAAAAAATGATTGTCAAACATTGTATCCTGGAACTGTGTTCCATCTGGTTACTGGGGAAATGGGTCTGACCTATTCTAATCAAAGGGGATAACCATCGGTTACCCATGTCCCGCTTCAGTTGGTGGCAAGCGGCGGGATCCCATGTCATTGCCAACAAACCCATGGACTACAGTGCTCTAAAGTGACCTACTCTGCAGGACTTGTGTGAAGCCAGAGGAATAATGCCTGGTGGACGTAACGAGGCTGAATTGACTGCTGCGCTCATGGAGGATGACCAGGCATGCAGTGAGGCAATGAACCTCAGCCAGGGGCTGGAGATGAGGAGGAAGTATGCAAGGAGGTGTAACTGCGCCTGGCATATTACCGAGAGCCACCTTCAGAGGAGATTGTCAGCAGGACCTTTTTGGAGGTGCAAAAACAGAGGGCGACCTCTATGAACCCAGATGAAGGAAGAAAGGAACAGAGGGCGCCGGAAAGCACAACCACCCTGGCCCACAAGCTACCATGCAATGCCTTCAAAGACTTCAAGGAAGCAGATGAAGGCATCGATGACTTTTTGCAAGACTTTGAGTGCCAGCGCCTTCTCCAAGACGTGGACCCCAGAGACTGGGTTACCATCCTGGCCAGCTAACTAGTGGGGAAGGCAGCAGATATTTACTGGGCTGTAACAGAAGAGCAGATCAGAGACTATCCCTTTATTACCCAAATCCTCCTGGCCCGGTATGCGGTCACCACCGAGCAATACCGCCGAAAGTTTAGGGAGACCAAGAAAGGGGAGAAGGACTCCATGCAGAGTGGGCCTGCTGCATCACAAGGGCCACCCAGAACTGGCACAACTCTCATTAAGCCAAGTTCCTGGAGGAGATCACCCAGCTCGTCATGCTAGAGCACTTTTTCAATGGGCTCCCCAACAACTAGGCGACGACACATCCATACCAACTTTCGATGCCACTTTCTGCGCCTACCATGGTGACCACGGGTAACGGGAAATCAGGGTTCGATTCCGGAGAGGGAGACTGAGAAATGGCTACCACATGCAAGGAAGGCAGCAGGCGTGCAAATGACCCACTCCTGACGGGAAGGTAGTGACGACAAATAACAATACAGGACTCTTTAGAGGCTCTGTAATTGTAATGAGTCCACTTGAAATCCTTCAACTCTGATCAATTGGAGGGCAAGACTGGTGTAGAGCGACTGACCCATGCGTGCTGCAGTTGAAACTCCACTATCACCTGCTGCTGCTCGCACAGTCTCTCCAGCTTGTGCAAGGTGGAATTCCACCTTGTGGGCACATCGCATATGAGGCGGTGAGCGGGAAGGCCAAAGTTACGCTGCAGGGCAGACAGGCGAGCAGCAGCAGGGTGAGAACGCCGAACGCACGCACAGCCGCTACAGTGGATGTCAAATCCTGTTCTAAATTGCGGATAAGTCTGGTGATGGCTTCTGGAATCCAGCACTCTTTTTACTGAAGCTCCATCAAGGTCCTGGTATGTGGCCGCACAAACGCTGGTGCTCAAAACCAGGGGGCGTGTGGTTACCCTGCACCAGACCCTGCTAATCCATTCTACACTGTGACTCCTAACTTCAACATTAGGCATACTGGGTCCCGGTCATCCGACCGCCGCCCAGACAGTGTCTGGGTCCCGGTCACCGGACTGTGAATGGCTTGTTAAATCTGTTATGGTTCCTTTTATTGCTCCATCTGTTACTTGGATAACTGTGGAAATCCTAAAGATAATACAACGAGCGCAAGGGGACGGCCACTCTGCTTTGACACCCTGCTCCCTCTTATGCTGTGCTGGTGCCTCTGTGCGACCAGCGCCTCTTCCTCCAAACTGCACACATCACTTGCATGACCTTGATTCCATGTGGGGTCTAGGACCTCATCATCTTCCACATCATCTTCCACCCACTCCTCAACCCTGCCCTCCTTGCCGGTCTGCACAGTGCAGAAAGCCACAATAGTTGGCACCTGTGTTTTTCCAGCATGTAAAGTCTGCAAAGGACATATGGGAATTGTTTTAGAATTGTATCCAGGCAACAGTTTTTTCTATAAACTGACCTCTCAGTTTGACTTGTGTGGGTATTGCCCCCAAATTACAATAATATTATATCAGTATTTGATGGTTCTATTTGACTGTTAGATATGAAGTGCAGGCCACAAATGTACTATTTAGCACCAAATTAGTATTGGTCAAACTGCGCTGTAACCACAGCATATGACGGTTCTATTTGACTCTCAGATATGAAGTGCAGGCACTAAATTGAATTTTTAGCAGCTAAAGAATTTTTACAACCGCAATGTTAGCACAATGTTTGACGTCTTTATTTGACTCTCAGATATGAAGTGCACCACAGGCCGTAAATGTACTATTTAGCAGCCAAAAAGTTTGAATGTTTAAAACTGCTATGTCACAGCACTATTTGACACTTCTATTTGACTCTTAGATATGAAGTGCAGGGCCCAAATTTACTATTTAGCAGATTAGTACCCAGAAAATTAGAATGTTTACAATTGTGCTGTAACCACACTATTTGACGCTTCTATTTGACTCTCAGATACGAAGAGCACGCCCCAAATTTACTATTTAGCAGTTTAGCACCAAAACAATTAGAATTTTTACAACTGTGCTGTGACCGCAGTATTTGATGCTTCTATTTGACTAACAGATATGAAGTGCACCCCACTAATGTACTTTTTAGCACCATAAAAATGTGACTCCAGCTTATATATAGAGGCTGGGTCACATGCTGCACTGGCCAGTCACAGCCATGCCATTAGCACAGGCAGGAACATATAGTTTTATACAATATTCATAACTTCCAAAACATACATGCAATCCACATAAAAGTCACATTCTGAACCAGCATAATCAGTATACAAACATATGTCAAAATCATTCAAATTGGTCCACTGGTTCAAAGGTTAGGTGGAAGTCCTATTTGACCAACTGCAAGCATGGTTTTCCTGCCCAAAACAGTTCCACAGATTTAGGCTTTCTATCTTCTCCTCTATCCTGGAGATGATTGGCTTAAGTGGGTGTGGTAACTTAATTATCTCCAATAAAAGGGATTATCTCTATTTACAACAACAGTAAAAATACCTAAAAATACATAATTCCTATTATACTGAGCAGAACCCCCACATTCAACCTATCCCTAGATAGCTAGGATCTGAGCGTTCAATATATCTGAACAGCGCTCAGATCCCACGAACAGAATAATATCGCCATGGGGTTAAAGTTTAGCAAGGGCTGATGAGAGATTGAGGAGGGACAAAGTTTCAACTGGTCTGGCAGTGTCCCTGGGACAACGCCCTGCTGGGGAACAATGGGACAGGAAAGGGGGAGGGGATGAGGCACATTCTCCCATGGAATCAAAGGGGCAGAAAAAGTGTTTCAAAATCCAATATGCCCATAAAATGATTTTAAAGGGCACAATCTCCCAGGGGCCATAGTCACAGGGCAAGAGGCTGGCAAGCAGGACTCTCCAGGACCAAGTGGCAAAGGGCTTTTCGTCACACCAACCTAACTTTGCGTAATCATATCAGAGGCCATAGGTCTGTCATCTTGACTGTGTTTAGAGACCAGAAGATGGAAACCCTGTTGTTAAACACTATTTAAAGGACCACTATAGGCACCCAGACCACTTCAGCTCAATGAAGTGATCTGGGTGCCAGGTCCATCTAGGGTTAACCCTGCCTGCTGTAAACATAGCCGTTTCAGAAAAAAAGCTATGTTTACATATGGGTTAATCCAGCCTCTAGTGGCTGTCTCATTGACAACTGCTAGAGGCGCTTCCACGCTTCTCACTGTGATTTTCACAGAGAGAATACGCCAGTGTCCACAGGAAAGCATTGAGAATGCTTTCCTATGAACTGACTGAATGCATCCGCGGCTCTTGCCGCGCATTCAGCCGCTCACATTGGAAGGAGGAGGAGAGTCCCCAGCGCTGGTAAGATTTTAACTCCTTCCTCCCCCTTCAGCTCAGCGGGAGTGGAACCCTGAGGGAGGGGGGGATCTATTAACACTATAGTGCCAGGAAAACAAGTTTGTTTTCCTGGCACTAAAGTGGTCCTTTAACATCATCTAGCAGACTTCCAACCCTTCGCTTTATTGCCATAGACCATATCCAGCCTTTATCCCGTGGGGGTGATAGTTCTAAACTGTTACTTCAAAGAGAATCATATTGGATCCAATGCTTAAACACCATGGTACCTAGGGTAAATGAACAAATTACCTATTCAATGTTTCTCTAATTTCTCTAATATTTATTTGATTATGTTATATTAGGTTTAGGCTTATCCTGTTGCCCCATTTTAGTGAGTCATATTATAATATGGAGTTAGAGTACCATTGTACGTTACACACCCAGAGGTGTTTTAATACGCACAGTATTTATCTATATATTGATGTTTTATAATGACATATCCACCTAACTTCCTGAAACATGTTGTATCAATTTTTTCTTGGTAGTTATTTATTGTATTTCAAACAAATAATAGATGTATGCATAGTTATCATCTGTAACGGAGCTCCCTGTACTCCGACCGAGTACCCTCCGTTGATGGATGCTCCTAGCGCTTCCTGAGGACTCCAAACACTGCAGCCGACACCACAACCACCGCAGACTCCACAACCGCCGTAGCTTAACTGGAGTCTCGCCGTCTTCCTTCCACCCTGGATCAGCTTCTGTCCTCCAGGACCGTGTGGGGAAGACCTCTCCTCCAGGAGAGCGTAACAGGAACAGCTCTTAAAAGAGCTAAGTGATTAAAAGCTCAGGGGAGTATGCAGAGCATAGCAATCCCCAGTGTGATATAGCAGTTCCCTCCAATAACGAGACAAGGCTACGTATTGAGGGTCAAGAAGATCTGATGTTTAATGGCACACACTCTGCTTTTATGAGATTCTGCCCATGCAAGGGAGACACCCACATAATTAGCAGTATAACCAATCGGAACAATATACATTCGGGGAAATTCCCATCCCTCAGATAATCACATAACATAATTAAAACAGAACAGTAAAAATACAGTTTTTATACATGTACTATAACTTCCAAACTACACATCCAATCTTCATAAAAATTACATATTTGGAATCAATCCATTAAGGGGAGCAACATATTAAAAAATGGCACAAATCAAACAAGGGGTTCAAAAGTTAGCAAAAGTGTCTTTTGGGGCCTGGCTGGCAGCATGGTTTTCTGGCCCAAACCGGTTTTACAGAGGCCTCTATCCTGGACAATGGGGAAAGTAATCCAATTATCCAGGGATAGAGGCAGACTCCATTAACCACATGTTAGCAAAAGACACAAAAAGACACAAAAATACATAACTCCTATTGAACTGAACAGAACCCCCACATTCAACCTATCCCCAGATGGCTTGGATCTGAGCGCTCAATATATCCAAACAGCGCTCAGATCCCACAAATACAGTCAAATCGCCATACACACTAGGTCCATAGTCATGGGGCAGAAGGCTGGCAATTAGGCTTCTCCATAACACAGGGAAGCAGGGCAATTTGTCAAATAAAATAACAGTTACAAATGGCAGTTTGTAACATCATCTTATGCTTTATATTACTCATTTAGTACAGACTGTGATGTTATATACATGCAGCGCAGTATTAAGTTAGGAGCCTGTTGTAGAACATTTAATGTACATACTCTGTTTTTACACTTTTTCATCACATTTTACTTCACATTTTCACTATTTGATTTTCACTTCTGGGGCTGCTATATTTGCTTGATGAACAGTAATTGTGTCCCTTAGTAAACCTCATTCATATCTCAAAACCCTCCTTCTTAGATATTCCTTAATTTCTTTATCTCTTTATTATATCTATTTGTAGCACTTCACTTTTTATGCACAGCACTGAGGAATCGATTTGTTATTCACACGTTGCCTATCAATACAGACGCCTTTGCATCATCACGTTTGGCCACGTGTCCCGCTGTGCACTTCCGGGTTCAGTCGGGTGTGGGATATCTCCTCACACATCACTGGTAAGTAATTATTTTACATTTCTTCATTTATTTGCACTCACTGAACTAGATTGTTGATCTTGAAAGAGACCCTTTCTAGGTC